GCGTCAGATTGTTTATAGTGAGGAGAAAGTGCGCTGAGTCGTCGACCTCACTCTCCCTTCCCACTGCCACACCCCAGCCGCTGTCCAAGCCGGTCAGCAGACTGGAGTGGGGAGTGGGCGCGGTGGCTGACATGGTCGACGGACCATGACTGCGCGCGCCACAGCACGACCTGGCCCCCCATACACACACAAACACCAGGATTTCACACAACGGGGGTTGAATGGCGTGTCTCTCACTTGCGTGAGAGTGCCGTGGAACGTGCTGCTGCAGCCCGTCCCCAGCCCACCAGTCCGCCACTACACACAACACACACACAACGTGACGAACTGCGTGAACCGAGAGCGGGCCTCAATCTGCAACCTTCCTATCCACGACGCTTGACGTGACGGGATAGTCTCGGACACAAGTCACCCGTGCAGCCGAAGCCGCATGGGGACCGAGTCGAGATGCACACTTCCCACTTGCGTGGGAGGCGGCAGTTGAGTGCATGAGGTGTGTGAGTGTTGATGTCTGGTGGGGTGATGGTGTTAGGAGGTAGGGAGTGAGGGAATGTGTGGTGTGACCGGCGGTTGTCTACCGCAGGTCGTCGTGGATGCGCATGTGGCCGAATAGACCCCTGCGATGCCTGAAGATGCGAGGGCAGTGTGGGCAGTGGAGGCGAGTGCGGTGGGTGTAGGTTGGTGCTCCAGGCACTGGTTCGCCGGTCTCTGTGCGATGGATTCGCAAGTGACCGACCAGGTCGATGCGTGAAGTGAAGGTGCGATTGCAGTGAGGGCAGATGTAGTCCTGGCCCTCACGTCTGATGATGGGGGTTGCAGGGGTTGTGCCTGTTGTTGTGTCAGGTTCGGCTGTGGTGAAGTCGTGGGCGACAGACGCCGAAGCGGCCGTCGTTGTGGCAGTGAAGGAGGAAGAGGAGGAGGAAGGGGAGGAGTGAGGGGTGGTAAGGTCGGTGGCGTCGATGTCGGCTGGGGAGTGGTTAGTGGGTGCACAAGGTGATGGATTGGGAGTGGGGCTCGGCGGGTAGGGTGTGTCAAGGCTGCGGTCAATTCCGCTCTCGTGGATGCGCATGTGGCCGAACAGGCCCATGCAGTGAGTGAAGGTGCGAGGGCATTGTGGGCAGTGGAGGCGAGTGCGGTGGGTGTAGGTTGGTGCTCCAGGCACTGGCTCACCAGTCTCTGTGCGATGGATTCGCAAGTGACCGATCAGGCCGATGCGAGAGGTGAAGGTGTGGTCGCAGTGAGGGCAGGTGTAGTCCTGATCCTCATCACTGGAATCGGGAGAGGTGGGGGTGGTGGCGGTTATTGTGTCGGGGTTGGTGATGTGTGAGACGGCAGTCTGAACGGCCGCCGCTGGGGCAGTGGAGGAGAAGGAGGAGGATGGAAGTGGTGGTGCAGGAGTGTCAGAGTTAGTTGGCGGCAGAGAGGAGGAAGAGGCGGGCGGGGGGACGATGGCTGGAGCAGTTCGAGAGGTGCAGTTGGTTCGGAGATGTCCAACAAGTCCGATTCGTGCCCGGAATGTCCGTTGACATCGAGGACACGTAGGGAGCGGTTGTGCGGCGGCGTTGCGTACTGGGCGAGATTGTGATTTGCGGGCTTCACTTTTCACTTTGGCGGCGGCGATGCGGTTGGCTTCATAGATAGCAGCGCCCGTCTTCACTGTTCTCCTCCATGTCGGACGATCGCGAGCGAGCTCTTCCCAGTTGGTCGGGTTGATTTGCAGGCGTTTCAGGGAGGACTTCAGGGTATCCTTGTAACGGCGAATTTGGCCTCCTTGACGACGAGAACCCGTCGCGACGTCTCCATAGAAGAGTCGTTTGGGTAGTCGCTCGTCGTCCATAGTCACCAGGTGGCCGCTCCAGCGCAGCTGAATTTGTCTCAGCATGGCGTAGATGCTGAGCATTCCCGTACGTTCCAGTTCTTCTGTGTCGGGGATTCGTTCCTGCCAGTTCAGCCTCAGGATGCGACGAAGACAACTGAGGTGGAAGTGGTTCAGACGACGTGCCTGTCTCGTGTACACCGTCCATGTCTCTGCTCCGTACAGTAACGTCGGCAGGATGACGGCCTTGTACATCTTCAGCTTTGTGCTCAGTTGGAGACCGTGGCGATTCCAGATTGTGCTTTGGAGGCGACCGAAGGCTTGACTGGCTTTCGATATCCTGTTGGCGACTTCGTCATCAATCTTGGTGTTGCGAGATAGGGTACTTCCCAGGTACGGGAAGTTCTCTACCACTTGCAGTTGGGTCCCATTCACATTGATGTGCGGCGCGTTGGGGGCTGTGGCTGAGTTGGGCGGAGGTTGGTGCATCACCACCGTCTTCTGCGTGTTAATGATCAGACCGAAGTTCTCGCAGGCGGCGGAGAATAGGTCCATGCTCCGTTGCATCTCCGCTTCGGAGGTGGTGTTCAGGGCGCAGTCGTCGGCGAAGAGGAGTTCGTGCACGGTGGTTGTGGATACGCGCGATTGGAAGTTCATGCACCGTTGATTCAGCAGACGACCGTCCGTTCTGTAGGCGATGCGGATTCCAGGGCGTTCGTCGCGGTAGGCGTCCATCAGCATGCCAGAGCACATAAGACTGAAGAGGGTAGGCGCCAACACACAGCCCTGCTTCACTCCGTTGGTCACTACGAATGCCTCTGAGACAGCTCCGTTGTCCGTGACTCGCGCCATCATACCGTCGTGCAGCTGACGCACCATCTGAGTGAATCGCTCCGGACAGCCGAATTTCTGCATGATCTTCCACAGTCCTTCACGATTCACCGTGTCGAAGGCTTTCGTCAGGTTCACGAAGGTAGAGTACTGGTGGGTCCGAATCTCCTGGCACTTCTCCTGTAGTTGACGGGCGGAGAAGATCATATCCGTGGTCCCATGATGACGACGGAAGCCGCCTTGGCTTTCCGGCAGAAGGCCCTGTTCCAGATGGTTGTTGAGGCGGTTGAGCAGGATGCGAGCGAAGATCTTCCCGCCGATGTTCAGTAGGGAGATGCCGCGGTGGTTGTCGCAGACTTGGCGATTCCCTTTTCGCTTGTATAGGTGCACGATAGTTGCGTCCTTGAAATCTTGCGGGACTTCACCTTGACGCCACATCTCCTGGAAGAGCGCAGTCAGGTGATCCATCAGT